CCAAGGTAGGGCATAAGTTGGCCCATGCCTTGGTTTTCTTGGAACTGGACACTTCAGCCATTAAGGGATCATGTGCATACCCACATCATGGGAGTTGGAGTCCAAAGCACCTGGAGGGAAGGCCCAAGTTGGCTCATGCCTTTGTATTCTTGGAAGTGGACACTTCAGTCCATCAAGGGGTCATCTCCATACCCACGTTGTGGGAGTTGGGAGTCCAAAACACCTGGAGGGAGGGCCCAAGTTGGCCCATGTCTTTGTCCACTTGGAACAGGGCACTTCAGTACTATCAAGGGATCATCTGAATACCCATGTTGTGGGAGTTGGGAGTCCAAAGCACCTGGAGGGAGGGCCCAAGTTGGAACTGCACACCTTAAGTCAATCAAGGGGTCATCTGCATACCCACGTCGTGGGAACTAAAGTCCAAAACACCCAGAGGGAGGACAGAAGTTGGCCCATGCCTGTTCTAAATCTTCCAAATCATGGAGAGGGATTGTTCTGCTAGGAAATTGGACCGAGGAGCAGGCACTGAGAAGGGTTCCGAAATGCCCGCTTCCTTCCTTCTCAATGCAAAGTGGGTCCTATGTACATCTATTGCTTTGAGAGCCGGGCTGGAGGAGGAGAACAACATTGCTCTTTCCCCCACAGCCCAGGAACGTCGTCAAATATTAGAAAAATAGAAAGGATCCTCCCCCCCTCCCCGCTTTGGAATTCCCTCCCTCTTGTCCCTGGTGATCTCTTTTGTTTGGGGGTTCGGTTGGGAGGAAAAGTCATTGGAGGGGAGCCCCAGCGGCATCATCGCATGGCACAACCTGTGTTTGCTCTAGAAGTCAGAGAAGAAATCTTGAGGGCCCAAGTGAATGATAAAAGGAGCGAGGTTGAGTGGCTGGCAATAAGGATTGTCAATGAAAAAACCACCTACAGCAGAGAGAAGAGCAGAGAAGGCGAGGAGGAGGAGACAAAGAAGAAGAGGAGGAAGAAGAAAAGACGGAGGTTAATCGTCATTTCCCAAAAACGGAAGAGAAAAAGAGACGGGACGGGTCTGAGTGCCGCTTAAATTTCTCTGCTCTTTCAAGCTGTAAGTGGGCTTTTCATTGCTCAAGGGGAATGTTTTGGATGCCTTTCGAAACAAAACAAAACAAAAACAGTAACAGGAATGAAAGCAAAAAATAAAATAATAAATTTGAATATCGAACTAGAAATTTCCCCAAACCGGTCCCGTCCTCCCTCCCCCTTGAAAATTTACGAGAACGGGGGGAAAAAAGGAAACCAGAAGGAACCGAGAGCGTATTAAGGTTTTCAGTAAAGCAGAGAAATGTAAAATATGCAGCAACAGGATTGCAAGGTTACGACGTGGTTAGTAACTCCCGACATGACAAAAATAAATGGAGAGGAGGAGGAAGAGGAGGAGGAGGAGGAGGAAGGAGGGGGGAAATGACATCATATCAATTACTGGAAATGTGTGCCATCATCCCCTTGGAAAAGACACAGCGCCGGCGCAAACGATCACTGGTTGGCGCAGCCGTGGCAAAAGCAACCACCAAGCTCTATTTGGAAGCGGCGCCCATTCGCCCAGAAGGAATTTGGAATTAGTTTTTTTTCCCTTCCCAATTTTGATTTTTTTAAAAACACAGCCATGCTTTTCCAAGCGGAGTGATGGCTTCCTTTCATCCATAGGCCAGCAAGACGGTCAAAGGATCGATCGGTACTGTTCTCGCTTGGAAGGCGTCTTTCCCAATCCGGGGGTCTGCTCCCAGCCAACCTGCCCTCCGCCCCAAACCAAAGGCCAACCCTTTGGCTTCTGGCCGCACAACGCTTTTGATGGAAGGATTGCCACCACCGAAGGGAAAACCACACTCCTTGAACCACAAAGGTGTGGGTCTTGGCTGCCGCTGCTCTTGGCCTCTTTTTCAGATGTGTATACATGCCTCCTTTCTAAAAATGGCAACCAATTCCAAAGGAAGTTAGGAATGTATATATTCCGCAGCCATTCAAGGTGACCCCATAGTGACACACCTCAGTTAACCTGACTCCCATAGTGACCAACCTTAGGACAATCTAGCCTCATGGTTAACTTAACCCCACAGTGACAAACCTTATCTAACTTGACTCCCATAGTGGCCAATCTGGGTTAACTTAACCCCATAATTACAAACCATAGTTAATCTGACCTCATGGTGAGAAGTCATGATTAACTTGACCTCATAGTGACAAACCTTATCTAACCTTATCCCATAGTGACCAACCTGGGTTAACCTAACCCAATAATGACCAACCTTGGGGAACTTAACCCCATAGAGACAAATCTTAGTTAATCTGACCTCATGGTGAAAAATCATGATTAACTTGACCCCATAGTGACAAACTAACCTGATCCCATAATGACCAACCTTGGTTAACTTAACCCTATAGTGACCAACCTTGGGTAACTTAACCCCATAGTGACCAGCCTTGGAGAACTTAACCCCATAGTGGCCAACCTTGGGGAACTTAACTCCATAGTGACCAACCTTGGTTAACTTAACCCTATAGTGACCAACCTTGGGGAACTTAACTCCATAGTGACCAACCTTGGGGAACTTAACTCCATAGTGACAAACCTAAGCTAACCTGATCCCATAATGACCAACCCCATAATTACAAACCTTAATTAATCTGACCTCATGGTGAGAAATCATGATAACTTGACCTCATATTGGCAAACCTTAGCTAACCTGGCTTAACTCTAAATTGACAAACTTTGGTTAACTTAACCCCTTCATGACAAATCATGACTAACTTGACCACATGGTGACAAATATCTTGGTTAACCTGGATTTCCCCTCATGGTCACTGTGATTTGCACATATGGTACATTCCTGCGCTCGCGAGCACAGGAATGTACCATATGTGCAAATTCACAGCTGACCACTCAGGAAACGATGTTTACAGGTAAGCAACCTATATTTTTTCCCCATCCTGTGCCAGTCCCCCTTTCTGCCTCTCCATTGTGAACCCCTCGAGCTTCCCACTTGAGAAGAGCAACGTATGCCCAGGTCCCTCTGGCATATATACACACATCTGAGAAAGGAGTCTCAAACAGAGGAGGAGGGTTCAGTGGAGGCGATGCTTTCGTGGGGGGCAGCCTACCCCACCCCTCATCCACCCCCCGACTGGGCTGCCCTTGGGTTCAAGAGCTGAAGAGCCTTCGGAGAACAGCAGACGCCCCTCTCTTCGGTCTCAAAAGCACGCATAGACCTCACACAGCCACGGACCCACCACATTTCGCCATATGCACACGCTCACACACGGAATCGAAAGAGAAGGGTCGGTACTGGCCTATGGCTGAAACAGCTCCATTTTCACAGCAGCACCGGACAAGACCAGGACAATTAAGGTAGCAAATTTTCATGGGAGACTGTGTTGCTGCTTTAGATTCTCAGAATTGTATAGTTTTTTTGGAGGGGGGGACGTCACAGGAAGGAAAGTGGCAAACGGGACGGGGACGTTTCTAAGTTTTGGATCTGAACCTACAAAATCCAGGAAGGAGGCCACAAGAAAGTGTGTTGGGTTTGGGGCTGGAAAGGGGGAAAGGAGAACAGCGCTTTGGCATTTCCATCATTGCAGCAAGCATGGTCCTGCGGGCTTCTCGCACGGCGTGATAAGGCTCTCAGTCAAGGTCTCAAGTTTGGAGAACCGGCTTTTTTGCAGTGCCGTTTGCTTTAACGGAGACCAAAAAAGGAGTCCTTCCTAAGGTAAAGGTATTCCCAAGGAAACAGTAAAAGATGGGAGTCCCAGTGAGGAACTCAAAAAAGGTATCACACACATCGACCCTGGAAGAAAAATATGGGCACCTCCATTGATTCGGAGAGAACATCGCTTGGGAATGGCCTCCCAAAATCTCTGCATAAAAATAAGGGAGAACTATAAATCTTAGAAGGCCCGGGCTTAGCACAGCGAGTTAATCTGCCAGCTGCAGAAAATCTTGCCGATCAAAAGGTCAGCAGTTCAAGCCCAGGTGAGCTCCCGCCATCAGCCCAGCTTCTGCTCACCTAGCAATTCGAAAACAGCAATGTGAGTAGATAAATAGGTACTGCTTTGGCAAAGAGGTAATAAAGGCACCCATGCGGACATGCCAGCGATTCGATTGGGAAAGCATCTACAAATGACGATGGAGTGACAGCACCTCCCTGTGGCTGGAGTCAAGCACAGCCTCCAAATGCCGGAGATGGAAAAAGATGGGAAGCCTTTGCCTCTGTTTATGTACTGTCTGTCTCTGTTCACTACACAACGGCACTGAATGTAGGCCGGGCTTTAGCACAGCTGGTTAATCACCAGCAGCAATAAATCTTTCCCAACCGAAATCCAGATGCTGGAAATGGAAAAAGATGGGAAGCCTTTGCCTCTGTTTATGTACTGTCTATCTCTGTTCACTGTATAATGGAACTGATTGTAGGCCGGGCTTTAGCACAGCTGGTTAATCACCAGCAGCAATTGATCTTTCCCAACCGAAATCCAGATGCCGGAGATGGAAAAAGATAGCAAGCCTTTGCCTCTGTTTATGTACTGTCTGTCTTTGTTCACTGTATAAAGGCACTCAATGTAGGCCGGGCTTTAGCACAGCTGGTTAATCACCAGCAACAATAGATCTTTCCCAACCGAAATCCAGATGCCGGAGATGGAAAAAGATGGGAAGCCTTTGCCTCTGTTTATGTACTGTCTATCTCTGTTCACTGTACAACAGCACTGAATGGAGGCTGGGCTTTAGCACAGCTGGTTAATCACCAGCAGCAATAGATCTTTCCCAACCGAAATCCAGATGCCGGAGAGGGGAAAAGATGGGAAGCCTTTGCCTCTGTTTATGTACTGTCTGTCTTTGTTCACTGTACAACAGCACTGAATGTAGGCCGGGCTTTAGCGCAGCTGGTTAATCACCAGCAGCAATAAATCTTTCCAAACTAAACTGATGTTGGGGTTGGTGTCCAGACTTGAGCTCCCCGTAGGAAAACAGGCAAATACTCTCCTTTACAACAAAAACTGGTTTTATTTTTATTTGTTTTCTTTTGTGATCAGCGTTTTATATTCTATACATCCTTCACAAGTTTGTTTGTTTTGTGTGTGTTTATTTTAAGTTTTACATAATCCGGGTAATACTTCCTTCACTTATAAACAAAAAAAAAAAGTTTTAAGCATCTAAGTTTCTTTCCTATTAACAGAAGGCTGGTATAAGTTATTTTGGAAGTCGTGGGGAGAAGGAGAAGAGAAAAATGAGGTAACCATTTTCACAGACCATTTGTATACGCGCGAGTGTGTGTGTGTGTGTGTGTATTCAAGTTTTTAGAGAACTAAATTTTGCATTTTTTGTTAAAAATTATGGGGGAAAAGGTAGGAAAAGAGGTCTCTTTACAAATGGTTTTTGCTCAAGTATGCGCTCAAGTGAAGAACGAAAATGAACCGGGCGTCTAAGGCCGGCAGACGGGGCGGTGTGTCCGCCTTCTCTTGCGAGTCTTCTAACATTCGTACTGTGTTTTGTGGTGGTCAGTCAGTGGCAACTGGCTTCTGCCATTGGCTAAAAGAAGGAGTAATGGGGCATTGGGTAGGTGGGCAGTTTCATAACTGGCAACAGAAGCATTCTCTTGGGCAAACCTACAGAGAGAAGAAGAAACCACAAGGACTCCAGGTAAGTCGGACAACCCAAGAAAGGCAAACTACAAGGGCAAAGGAATGGAAAGAAATAACAAAAGAAGAAGAAGCGGCGTGTCGGTTCTGCCCCCAATTGTCGCTTCTCCCAAACGACCGTATTTCATCACATAAGAGTCGCCACCGTGCAACAGTCGCACCCTCGTTTCTTGGGAGGTGAAATCTGTATTTTTTGTGTTCCTCACATAATAGTCGCAGAACCATTTGGAGCCAATTCCCCCTTCTTTTCTTCCACAGTCACACCCCGCATTTTTGAGGATGGCAAAATAATATTTTTGTGTACTTTACATAATAGTTGCAAAGCCATTTGGGGCAGATCTCCTCTTCCTTTCTTCTACAGTCACACCCCTGTTTCTTGGGAGGCGAAATCAGTATTGTTTTGTGTTCCTCACATAATAGTCACAGAGCTATTTGGGGCACATTCCCTCTTCCTTTCTTCCACAGTCGCACCCCCCATTTTTGAGGGTTGCAAAATCAATATTTTTGTGTACTTCGCATAATAGTTGCAAAGCCATTTGGGGCACATTCCCTCTTCCTTTCTTCCACAGTTGCACCCCCATTTTTGAGGGTGGCAAAATCAATATTTTTGTGTACTTCACATAATAGTTGCAAAGCCATTCGGGGCCGATTCCCTCTCCTTTTCTTCCACAGTCGCACCCACCATTTTTGAGGGTGGCAAAATCAATATTTTTGTGTACTTCGCATAATAGTTGCAAAGCCATTTGGGGCACATTCCCTCTTCCTTTCTTCCACAGTTGCACCCCAATTTTTGAGGGTGGCAAAATCAATATTTTTGTGTACTTCGCATAATAGTTGCAAAGCCATTCGGGGCTGATTCCCTCTCCTTTTCTTCCACAGTCGCACCCACCATTTTTGAGGGTGGCAAAATCAATATTTTTGTGTACTTCGCATAATAGTCGCAAAGCCATTTGGGGCAGATTCCCTCTTCCTATCTTCCACAGTTGCACCCCCCCCCCCATTTTTGAGAGGTGGCGAAATCAATATTTTTGTGTTCCTCGCATAATAGTCGCAGAGTCATTTGGGACTCATTCCCGCTTCCTTTCTTCCTTCTTTCTCCAAAGACCTCAAGGCCATTTGAAACTATGACATGGAGGTCTCTGAAGCACCTCTCTTCTCTTCTCTCCTCCCTTCTTCCGCCAGTGCCTGGAATGGAGGTCTAAGGAAGTCAGACCTTCCCTCCTTTCTCCAAAGAGTGAAATTTCAGTGCCTTGCCTTTGGAGAAAGAAGGAAGAAAGGGAGAGAGGGAATTGGAATCTTCGCCTCTTCCTTCCTCCTCGACAAAATAAACAGAAACTGAGCTGTGTATTTGAAGCTTGATCATCCCTCCTTCTCCTCCCCTTTCAGAGTGAAAGCATTTTATTATTTTTTGGAAAACCTCAGAAACCAGAGACTCAAAGGCAGAAAAGTTGCAGCCCTCTTTTTGATGGGAAAAAGAGATGAAAGTGCGACTATTATGTGATGAAATATGGTAGAAAGTAGTCTAGCAGGGAGCAACAGTTGGAATTAGAATATTTAGGGGCCACATTTGCTTCCTCCGTCCCAACCAAAAGCAAACCCCCTTTTCCTTCCCTGTCCTGACCATTTGTCACATTTTTTTCTATTTGAAAACTTTGGGACAGAAGATCAAACCACATCTGAAAGTGTTGTTGAATGCTTTCACGGCTGGAATCACTGGGTTGCTGTGAGTTTTCTGGGCTGTCTGGCCATGAATGCTTCTGGAAGTCACAGCAACCCACATCTGACTGTGTTGAGAGATGGTGGGCCGGTTATGGGGAGGACCTTGCGTTGCAAGCAAGGAAAAGGGGACAAGACTGCAGAAACCAGACCAACTGCCCTCTGGACGATCCCTCCAAGGAGAAAAATCTTGATTTCCTTCTCCAGGGTCCAGAACACAGGGCTGTCGCTCCAGGCGGGTGAGACGAGAGCATTACCTCTTCCAAATAAGAATCCTCCCCATCCAAGTGAAACGTTCCTCCAATCCTCACATTTCTCGCATTGCGGTAACTTGAAGCTTCGGCCAAGCTTTTGTAGGAAGCAAAGGCCAAACGAGCAAAGGCAGGTGAACCAGCGAAGAGGCGCTCTCGCAGGGTTTTGAAGGCTTCGCTCTCGTAATGCTGGGATTTTGGGGACTGAGCAACCATTTCAGCCAGGCAGGACAAGATTCCTATTTGGAGAGGCAATGCCCTCACTGTGCCTTTCTCTGCTCAATTTCGGAGGTTGTGTTGAAATTCTTGTGGCCTCACACAAAAAAAATAGAAGAATATTGTGTGTCTTGATTTTTGGGAGGAGGGTGGGGGGTTTGTTTTCGGAATGAAGAGCCTTCCCTGTCCAAAGGCCCCTGACAATCGTCTCGCCCAGGCATCCGTTTTTAGAAATCAGAAAGCAGCAACAGCAGGTATTGTCTAAGAGGACCGAGATGATCAGAGTGAAACTTTCCCAACATGCACACAGCTTCACAGAGGCAGAGAGAGAGAGAGAGAGAGAGAGAAGGGTCAAGGGGAGGGGGGAGATAGCGCTTGAGCCCCTTCCAGGGTGGGCATAGCCACCAGCCGGCCAGGCGCGCCCAGAAAAAGAAAAGGGCCAAAACCAAACGGGGGGGGGGGGTCCTTTATGCAGAGAAGGAGGGCGGCATCCCTCTGCCCAAGAGGAAGAGGAAGGAGAAGGAGGAGAAGAAGCCCTTGGAGTCAGCGATGGGACACCGGGAGCCGGAAGGAGGGGGCCAGACCTCAATTTAGCCCTGCCCAATCCCCTGTCTGCCTCCCAGTCCAGGACACTCATCAAATGGGTGGAGGGAGGAAGGAAGGAAGGAGGAAGGAGGAAGGAAGGAAGGAAGGAGAAAGTGAGAAAGAAGGAGGGAAGGAAAAAAGGAAGGAAGGAGGGAAGGAAGGAAGGAAAGAGGGAGGGAAGGAAGGAAGGAGAGAAAGAAAGGAGAGAAAGAGGGAGGGAAGATTGAAAAAGAGGGAAGGAAGGAAAGAGGGAGAGAAGGAAGGAAGGAAGGAAGGAAGGAAGGAAGGAAGGAAGGAAGGAAGGAAGGAAGGAAGGAAGAAAGAAGAGGAGGAAGGAAGGAAAGGAAGGAGAAGGAAGGGAGTAAAGGAGTGAAGGACAGGAAGGAAGGGAAGGAAGAAGGAAAGGGAAGAGGAAGGAAGAAGGAAAGAAAGGAAGGAGGAAAGAAGGGAAGGGAGGAGAAGGGAAGGGAAGGAAGGGGAGGGAGAAGGAAGGGAAGAAGGAAGGAAGGAAAAGAAGGAAGGAAGGAAGGAAGGAAGGAAAGGAAGGAGGAAGAAAGAAAGGAAAGGAAGGGAAGAAAGAGAGGAAAGAAGGGAGGGAAAGGAAGGGAAGAAGGTAAGTAGGATGGAGGGAGGAAAAGGAAAGGAAGGAGGAGGAAGGAAGGAATGAAGGGAAGGAGGAAAGAGAAGGGAAAGAAGAAGAAAGAAAGGGAGGGGAGGGAGAGAGGGAAGGAAGGAGAAGAAGGGAATGTGGAGGAGAAAGAGAGAAAAGAAAAGAAGGGGAAAGAAGGAAAGAAAAGGAAGGGAAGGTAAAGAGAAAGAAGAGAAGGAAGGGAGGAAGATAAGGAAGAAGGAAAGAAAGGGAAGGAAGGAATTGGAAGGGAAGTGGAGGGGAAGGAGGAGAAAGAAAAATAGAAAAAGAAAGAAAGAAGGCTAAATTTCTGTATTCTACACTTTCAAGTCATGTCCATCTAATTTGTAAACATTTCCTGGAAATACTTTAGAAAATGTACTTGAAAGAATGTTCATTCTTTTGTGTTGATAGTGACCAAACAAAATCAGCCATAGAGTAGAGTAGTAGAGGTGATACATTAGGTGATACATTTCTGTTACATTTTCCAGGGAGGACGGAAGGAAGGAAAGGAAGGAAGGAGGGAGGGAAGGGAAGGGAAGAAGAGAGGAAAGAAACAGAAGGACGGAAGGAGGACAGAAGGAGGACGGAAGGAAGGAAAGGAAGGAAGGAGGGAGGGAAGGGAAGGGAAGAAGAGAGGAAAGAAACAGAAGGACGGAAGGAGGACGGAAGGAAGGAAAGGAAGGAAGGAGGGAGAAAGAGGGCGAGGGAAGGAAAGGGAGGAGGAAAGAAACGGAAGAACAGAAGGAGGAAGAAAGGTAAGGAAGGAGGGAGAAAGGAAGGGAAGGGAGGGAGGGAGGAAGGAAGGAGCGAGGAAACAAGCTGCCATACGAGATGCCAGAAATGGCTATTTTTCTGCACTGCAATGACCCTATGGCTGCGAATCCTCCAACCCCAACTCCGTGTCCTTGAGACTGAAGGGCTGGATCTTTGAAATATTTATAATATCTCAAAGGCTGTCATAAGCAAGAGTAAGACTAGGGCTCAATGGAGCCAGGGGTTCAAGTTGCAGGAAAGAAGATTCCACTTGAACGTTAGGATGAACTTCCTAACAGTGGAACTCCCTGCCTCAGAGTCCGATGGAAGCTCCGTCTTTGGAGACTTCCTTTGAAGCAGAGGCTGGATGGCCATCTGCCAGGGATACTTTGATAGTGTTTTTCCTGCCTGATGGCCGCAGGGGGCTGGACTGTATGGCCCATGGGGTCTCTTCCTGCTCTATGATTCAGTCAGAAGAAGACTGTCCTCTGTGTCTCAGGGGACCACAAGCTGAACATGAGCCCGCAGTGTGATGCGGCGGCTGAAAAAGCCAACGCAGTTCCAGGTTGCATCGACCAAACTATGGAAGTCTTAGTCCCACTCTAGTCTGCTTTGGTCAGGCCTCACCTGGAATATCCCTGTGGCCAATTCCGGGCACCAAAACTCAGGAAAGGTATGGACAAGCTGGAAGGTGTCCAGAAGAGGGTGACCAAATTGGTCAAAGGGCTGGAAGCCACCAAGCTTTACGAACAACGGAGGGAGCTGAAACTTGGGACTTTCAGGTGTCCTCCCACCAAGTAGGTCAACAAGTGGGCAACCTGCACTGGGTGGAGGCATCTCAATGACCCTTCGGGAGGACATCATGTCATGGAACCCCCCAACTGAGAAGACCAAAGGATGCAGAGAGACAGCCAACAAACTCCTGCGAAAAGGGGTCCCTCTGTGCCCCCCAAGACCACCGGCTCTTTCAAAGTGGCCATTGGTCAGCCGAGAAGATGGCTGGGCCGCAGTCACTGACTCCAAAGCGCTTCGCCCTCCTTGCTGCATAAAACTACATTCAAAGTCATCCAAAGAGCCATTTCCCCCCAATTGAACTAGATGAATGGGGCATGCTGTGGGCAGGGAGGCGGGTGTGTGTGTGTGTGTGTGTTGGAAATTGTGCAACTGCAGAAGGAGGGAGAATGTTCCATTGCACCTATGAGGGCCTTTAGCACAACTGAGGTGTTTGCTTGCCTGCATTTTGGCTGAGAAGGAAAAGGTAGGGTAAATGGGAGGTGCTCAGGAGTCACGTGCATTTGGGGTAAACCTTGATTCGTTTTGTGTCCCGGCTTTTGGTGGGGCCCCTGATCCGTTTCTACTCGGCCTCCCGAAATCGGGAGAGCAAATATTTGGTTTTGGTTTTTGGGTGTCGAAAGATTCATTTTCTTTCAGCCCATTATTAGGGTGCGGGGGGTTCCCACCTAGGCTGCCCTTGGGTTTTGGATGGGGTTTGCACCATCTTTTGGATGGGGTTTGTCTCACCTTCATCTGGGGAGTCGAAGGGCTCCCTGGCTGGGGCTGAAGACCGATTGTGTTCGCTGCCGGTGGACTTGCTTCACAACCCAAAGTGTAAGCCCAAAGCACCCGGGCTGCAAGGGCCTGAACCCGAGCACCGAGTAAGCAGCGATCCTTACTCGGCACTCAGCTGCAGGCCCTGGCAGGTCTGGGCAATTTGGGCATACACTCGTGACAATCGAACCGAAAAGCAGGCTTGGAGCCGGTACCCACTCCCGCCTGCCTTTCGTATCGAGTTTATTTTCATTCGAAGAGGGACCTTCCCGTTCTGTGCCATCCGAATGGACGGAACGAAACTCAAACATGAATCAAATGAGTGATACTGGGCCCATGACTAGTGCGCAGTCTTTCTGGCAGACTTGTCCTTGTGGAAATAAGTGCTCACAGAGGACACTAGACATGTGTCCTCAGTAGTACGCTTGTAAAGTTGACTGTCTAAGCCAGGGGTCCTCAAACTATGGCCTGGGGGTCGGATGCGGCCCTCCAAGGTCATTTACCCAGCCCTCGCTCAGGGTCAAATTAAGTCTGAAACGACTTGAAAGCACACAACAACAACAACAACAATCCTATCTCATCAGCCAAAAGCAGGCCCACACTTCCCATTGAAATACTAATAAGTTTATATTTGTTAATTGTTCTTCATTTTAATTATTGTCTATATGGCCATGGTCTAGAGCAGGGGTCCTCAAACTAAGGCCCGGGGGCCAGATGCGGCCCTCCAAGGTCATTTACCCGGCCCTCGCTCAGGGTCAACCTAAGTCTGAAACAACTTGAAAGCACACAACAACAACAACAATCCTATCTCATCAGCCAAAAGCAGGCCCACACTTCCCATTGAAATACTAATAAGTTTATATTTGTTAAAATTGTTCTTCATTTTATTATTGTATTGTTTTTAAGTGGTTTTTTTGCACTACAAATAAGATATGTGCAGTGTGCATAGGAATTCATTCATTTTTTTTCAAATTATAATCCGACCCTCCAACAGTTTGAGGGACGGTGACCTGGCCCTTTGTTTACAAAATTTGTGGACCCCTGGTCTAAGTGTGGATAAATTTCTCTGGAAGGCAAGGGACTACAAGTCCCTGGTTGGAGGGTTCTGGGAGTTGTACTCCCCCCACCCCCCACCTCACCCCCCCCCCCAAAAGGCAGATTTCCCAGCCTTTGGGCCCTGGTCGGGACCACTGGGTTTGAGACAAACCCAAAGAATGACTTGGCCTTGGAGTGTGCGATGTGTCTCTGTGCCAGAGAGCATTGCAACGAGGGAAAAGGTGGGCCGAGAAGAAAGGAACCCAAAGGGATTTCAACTAATACTAATTAACAAGCATCAGATTGGCAGGAGATGATGGGGAAGGAGGTGCGGGCTCTGGAGTTCTGGCCCTTCGGGGTGCTTTGAATGGAGCATGAGAGGGTTGTCCGAAGGGAGAAGAGCTACTCAAGCGGGAGGAAGGAAAGGAGGGCGGTGGGGGGGGGGGGGGGGGAGAAAGAGATACCTTTTCTGAGATGGAAAGAGTGGGGGGGGGGGAGCAGGCAGTTAGAACAAGCAGCTTTTCCACAACCAGGCAAAAGCAAAAGAGAAGAAGAGGAGCTACTTCCAATCAAAATGAGAAGGAGAGAGAGAGAAGGCGCCATGAGGCCGACGGCGTCCCAGAGTCAAAAAAAGAGGAGGGCTTGCATTTGCCCCATTGGAGGGGACGTACTGGGTCCCCTTCTCCCCCCACCACCCAATTTCCGTGGCGTATGCACAGCTACATACATTCCGCTCCCCAACCTGGAATATAAGGCATACATCTGGTTGTGCGCAAAGCAAGGAACAGGTTGTTTACGTACCATAGGCTGGCGCAGCGGTGGCGGCACTGTAGCCGTAGGGAGCGGCATAACCTGGGAGAGAAACAGACCAAAGGGTTGAGGCCGGCTGGGAGAAGGGGCAGAGGGGGAGCAGAGGGGCGGAGTGGCCTTTGCTCCCACTGTGTTACTATGATCTCTTGAAAGAACACACCAAGACATACAAGGGCTGAAGCTATTGGGTTGTTGTAGGTTTTTTCAGGCTATATAGCCATGTTCTAGAGGCATTCTCTCCTGACGTTTCGCCTGCATCTATGGCAAGCATCCTCAGAGGTAGTGAGGTCTGTTGGAACTAGGAAAAAGAGTTCGTAGAAGCTTCGGAGAGCTTCTGTTCACCGGGATTGTGGCGCAGCTGGCTGAGTGTCAGCTGCATTAAGATCACTCATGAGTTCGAAGCCAGCCCAGGTTGGAGTGGGTTTCCAACCAATTGTGTGTAGCCTGTTGTCGACCTTTGCAACCCGAAAGACAGTTGCATCTGTCAAGTAGGAAAATTAGGTACCACCTTAAAGTGTGGGGAGGCTAAATTAACTGATTTATGAGGCCATAAAGAAGACTCCAGCAAAGTATTCCAGCGGGGAAGCATGCGGGGAATGCGGAAGTGCTTCATCAGCGTCGCAGATGGATGATGAAAGCGACAGCTCCCCTGGCGGCCAGAAAAGATAAATAGCCTCTGTGTATGTCTGTATATGTTGTATGTAAAAAAATTGGCATTGAATGTTTGCCATATATGTGTACACTGTAATCTGCCCTGAGTCCCCTGCGGGGTGAGTGAGGAGAAGGGCGGAATAGAAAAGCTGTCAATAAATAAATAATAAATAAATTTCAAAGCTCCCTGCTTGAGCAGTGATAGCATGATCGTCACCATAGATGAATCTATAAGAGCATCTAAAGCTTCGGAGAACTTCTGTACAACCATTTCAAACCATTCCACAGATATATAAACCCCTTTTCCTAGTTCCAACAGACCTCACTCCCTCTGAGGATGCTGGCCATAGATGGAGGTGAAACGTCAGGAGAGAATGCCTCTAGAACATGGCCATATAGCCCGAAAAAACCCCTACAACAACCCAGTGATTCCAGCCATGAAAGCCTTCGACAACACGCTGAAGGTACTGTTCATAATACAAGAACCTAGCAGTACTGGCCATCTATATTGACCCTTAGCTACAATGTCATAAATCTCCCAAAGGCCCTGGCACCTGGAGTCTGCCCTTTCCTACACACCGGCACCCACTTTCTCCCACCTCAGGGCCATTGAGAAAGTCACCAGTGGTTTGCCATTCAGTAGTGGGTTCCTGAGGAGTCTCAGGCAGGCCCGTCTCTGGTGGGTCCTCGTCACCAACTCTGCTGCTGTATGAACTCTGCTTTTGTATAATATAGTCAAGTGCTTCTTGTAAGTCAGAGCGTGTGCTTGCTCCATCCATGCTTAACGTTTACACAAACAATCAGCCACTGCCAGGAGGGACAGAGTGTTTCCTCTATGCTGACGATCGTGCCATCACCGCCCAAGTAGGAAGCATTGAAACGGTTGAACAGAAGCTCTCTGAAGCTTTAGGTGCTCTTATTGCCTATTACAGGGAAAGCCCACTTAAGCCATCAGTGTTTAACTTTAATTTGCACAAATGATCAGCCACTTCCAGGAGGGACAGAGTGTTTCCTCTATGCTGACGATCGTGCCATCACTGCCCAAGTAGGAAGCATTGAAACGGTTGAACAGAAGCTCTCTGAAGCTTTAGGTGCTCTTATTGCCTATTACAGGGAAAGCCCACTTAAGCCATCAGTGTTTAACTTTAA